CTTATTTTTTATTTTTTTTTTTTGTGCTCCCCCTTTTTTTTTTGACTTGAGCGGCAGAAATTTTGCCCTCAAGTCCCTGCTCTGTCACAAAAGATCTGTCACAATAAATGCAAAGACCTTTGCTTGAAGTGTTAGTATTTACTACGTTCAGAGTCAACAGCACCTGAATAACAGTAAAAAAGTACATTTTACATAACTCGTTTACTTACTCAAAACCTTTGATGGCAAGTGCAATTTAACCACAATGAACAACGTTTTTCCCTGAGGTACTTGCACTTGAAAAGAGCCGCGTCGCCGCCTTCCGCCATTTTCGAATATGACGCCTCCTCTCCCGTGGCCTCATGGGATAGTAAAGTGTCCATCGTATGCATGCTACGGAATTCGGGCGGAAGTAGTAGGTCATCCGGGTACTTCTCGCCTACTGTTTTTCGAATACTATGAATTCGGACATACTACTCGCCTCGCATACTGTTTTTTTGCATACTGTATGCGATTTCGGACGCAGAGCGAGTCAAGTCTCGAGTCATGTGACTCGAGTCCACACCCCTGGAGTCTTGCAGCTTTAGATAGCAGCACAATGGCTGTCTCAAACACACACCAACATACAAAGGTGCACAAACATGGTCTGAAAGCACCAGGAGGCTGGATGTGATGAATTGAATGGAAAGACTGTCCTTTCCAGCACAGGAGTGTTTCAGTGGCACATCCTGCTCCTGTAGAGAGAGTAAGAGAGACCCGGGCTGATCAGCAGTTCTTAGTTAATTAACACCAGATGTCTACCAGCTGTTGTGCCTCCCCTACCTTTGCACTCTGTACAACCCTATCACATCTTATAGGGGTTAACATGTTTGAAAGCACATATAGCAAACATAGGCAGAAAATCAATAAACAGTAGGCACACAGTGGATATAAAATAAGATATTTGCCATAGATGCAAGCTAGCAGATATGTATCTACAAAAATGACTTTGAAATTGCTTGGCTAATTAGGGTCAACCTATGTAACTATCTATAATTACACTAATGCACAATAAAACAGATTTCTTTGCTTTTTAGATGTAAAGACACTATTGGTCTTCTTGCTGAGTATTTAAAAATGAGTTACATTAAATTATAGCTACAAAACTCACTAAAAGGTCCTTTTATGATTGTCATTACAAGTATATTAGAAACTGCCTAAGATCAGTTAGAAATGTTCTAATATATGCAGTAGACAGATACCTGTAGAGGGATAGATAGATCGATTAAAACTGTATAAAATAGATTTGTTGTGAGTTTGACTCCATCAGCATAGCACAAATGGAGGGACATGCGTCCATACATCCCACCCACGGGGATAATGACATCTCTCATTTGATTTGACATCCATGCGCCTCAGCAGCCTTGCCTGTTAAAATCCTCTCACAATTTGGAACAGTAATTAATTTCTTAACGCTTTCTGTGGAGCCTTAAAGTTTTATAAAGAATAAAAATTTCTGCTCCTCTCTCTCAGCCGCGATGAACAGAACAAGCTCTATTAATAGGCTATTCTTTATCTGCTCATTAAGAAATCAATAGGATGCGTCCACATTTGAAACAGGATGTAACCTTTGCGCCTGAGACTGATCTGATATCATCAGAAAATCCTCATATCTTGCATGTGTTCAATTACAGCTGCCGCAATACTCCAAAGAGTCTACTTACAGCTGTGTGGGAGCGCGACTGATAAGTTCGCAATTGAGTCAAACTCACAATTAAATCCATGAATGTCCCACACAGAGACTGAGACAAACCCATGGCATTGTGGCTTGTTTATGTGACATGATTTTAGCATTGGTATGGCTGCGAGTAATGCAAGCAAATGAGCCAAAGCGTGTGTAGTAAATCCACACTAAATCTTTTTCTCTTTTCTGTGTGTTTCTTTTTGCTCTTTGGAGTAATCCCATCATTGTAGAGCATTTCCAGTGTGGAGCGTTTATCGCGAGTACTTCCATATGCCGTTTACATGCTCCTAGCCTGTTTGCACACAGCTGCTAAGCTATGCAAATAGCAACACAAACTCAACACGTCTTAAATGCTAGAAATGAATGCATGATAAATATGTGTGAAGTGAGATGGGCGGTTTGAATGGGAAAAGGGAAGGTGAGGACATAAACGTGAAAGACATTGCCTAGTACATATTAAAATGGTTAACGCTTTAGAA